AGTTAAAGTATAACAGGTATGTTTGATACCTACAACGCACATATCCCGGACATTTTAAAATATCAATCAATAGTTAACTTTCTGTTATTGATGTCAGAATTATTGAGTGAGTTTATTAATTGCTTCTGACAAGTTTAAACAGCGTTTAGTTTGAAAACATCAGTTCTTTAAAAATCATTAGTAAAAATCATGAATTAGCCTAAGTAGTCTAAGAAACACAACATTTACTTCTATAAATCATTTTTGACGAATTGTGGAAATCGATAATAAGCGCTTGATGACTATGATATCAGTACTTACCTACTAAACGTATGTATGACCTCAACGAAACTGATGGACTTCCAAATATTTGAATTAATAGCATCCACTAATTCAGTTGAAACTGTACGACTTGTTATCTAGAAGTCTATTGAGTCATAATGTAATAATGTGAATACAAATAAGCGAACAGAGTATAAAATTCGCCATGTAGTACATTCCTTAGCGATTGATGAAATGCATCGATCACGTTTTTGTGATGTAACTATTGAACTAAATAATTCAATATCAATAAATAATAATCGTTTTTAGGTTATAAGCAGCTGCAGAAGGACGACAAAATGTTATTCCACTACGTTTGTTGTTCTTGATGCAGGTTAATTTATCAATGAGATAGCTTTATGGAAAAAGTGAGATGATTCGAAATTAATTTAAGGCGAACTGACACTTTATGTTATGATCTTAAAAATTAATGTATAGTGCATTAAACTGATCCTCTTTGCCCGGATTAAATTTTCTTTAGTAAGACATTCCAGTTCTATAATCATCGAGTTTTAGAAGTCAAAAAAGAGTTCGTATAACATTTTGGAGCTGTCACAACGTTTGGAATACAGTTTGATCTCATGATTGACCCAACATCTTTTAACACTGAAGCAACTAGTAATAATCTTTAAACTGAACTAATGGATCGTCAATAAATGTTCCAAACATCTAATATCGACCGAATTCTACCATTCATTGAAAGAAGATTGATTTCATAGTCTGTAAAATGAAAACTATACCCATTGAATACAATAAATATTACGTCAAGTATTTCAAACAAATAAATTATACAATAGTCTGGTCTGTAATTTTTTTGAACAGATAATGACAGAGATTTAATTGGATAAATCTAGAAAAATAAAAATTTACGAGATGAATTTCTTCACTAGTAGTAATATGAAATATCAAAGGAGTTGCTAAGCATAATTCACAATTTTGAAAATATCAAACATAATAGTGTAAGATATTAGAATTCAACTGATTCAAAAATGTTTTAAAAGGAAATATTGAATCTTATCAAAAGGGGCAATCAACAACAAAAAATCACCAAAATCTTATACATCATGAGGTTACATTTCATTTTTTTTAAAAAAAAGGATACAATGAATAAAATTAAAAGTATATAATTAAAAGAAAATTCTTTTAACAAACCAGTTGAAGTCTTTATTATTTTATTCATATATTTTATCGTTTTCTTCTCCAATTACTGTTAGAGGAAAAATAAATTTCACTGATATTTCATGAAATCTTATGCTTGTTTTGATTATATATAACACGCACTTTAATATAAATTGAAAGAAAAGAAATTAAATAATCACGAATGTTTGAGAAGAAAATTTTTAGAAAAAAAAAAGATTTAACCTTGATGAGGTTGTAGTTTGCAATTCGAAGAGTATAAAAATGATATTGAAAGAATACAATTATATTTTTTTATTTGAATAGTTCCAGAGAATAAGTCAGATCCCGATAAATCACTTCCAACGCCTGGATATGTAACTATCCAAATAACATAGAAAATAAATAATTTGCAAGTGATGAAACTTAAACTATGAACTTAGTTGTGAGAATACAATATCTTTCAGTATTAGGATTCGCAGCTTTATATCACAAACTGACTTGAGTTAAACAACTAGAGGGAACCAAGCAGCATTGGGAAGGTGTTTTGTCCTCATACAGGACCTCTTAGCAATGTGTCCACAACCGCGTAGGGTTTGAACACAGGACCGTAGGGCATCACACCAAGTGCTTGGCCTTTAGATCATTGAGTGACTTCGGTATTATCACCCTGATATACATAAGTACTAGGTCTAGGTAACAAGAAAACGACCACATATTCATAGAGATGGCTGGGAAGTGCTACGTATGCCCAACCACCGACTGCCTCGACGTGCGATGTTCAGTGGTATAGGAGTAGGTTGGGAGAAAGCTAGGGGCGGCCAGACTAAAGCATGGCACAAGTCCATGAAGTCACTGACAAGTGGACTGAGTCATGTTGGTGGGTGTAGACTACCTGGTTGGGGATCTGCGAGATGATAGCAACCGATGGTTAGAGACCCTTAATGACATGGCTCAAAATCGTTTGCAATGGCGCAGGTGCATCCACAATTTGTGTTCTCCCAAATTCTAACCTGAATTCTTCATGTCCCTTTTTTTCTCTTTGCAAATTTATTTCACTGGATTATACTCTTTAAATAACATCTTCAAACCCTAATGTTTTCGATTATTGCTTATACTCTTACTAACTCTACCACTAGGGGATTTGAATCGACCACTGCATCTATGTGCAAATGTGGTATGGCAACTCGAACTGATGTACGTACGTACAAAGTTCTACGTTGTTACTGCCTGACTGACATATAAAACTTTAGTGTGATTACAAATCGAACAATGCAGTATGCAAGATGAAGAATAGTGACTAATTTTGTGCAATCTTCCTATTCTATTTGATTTACTATGAGGATACTTACCAAACAGAGTATTATAAACAGTACATCAGTAACTGGACGGTAGAAAATTTCACAACCTTTCATAAACCACAGACTGATCTATCTAAAACTCCCAACAAATTTAATTCATTGACAAAAAACGTTAAGTGTGTGTTATATTAACAGAAGAGAATTTTGATCGTAAAAGTTAAAGGAGCTCCTGTACAGTTAGTCACGCAAGAAGTGAAATAATAAATCGAAAAGATTCAACCCTCTAAAATATTAAGAAACCTGAGTATGAAAAAAATTAAATAGGTTTACTATGAATTGTGTTACAAGTAGTTCATCTGTTATCGTTATTATTCAAAATTCAGTAAACTGCAAGTTTAACGAACTTGACTAAATGGGATTTAAGCCACAATAAATTAACTCAAGATGTCATACTAATAGGTCGAAAAATAGCTTGGAAGCACTGCAAATAAAATTAGCAGAATTATGATAAATAATCAGCCTTTCATTTCTAAAGTAGTCACCAATTTGTCAAAAATATTGCTCCTAAAAATATCACTAACTAATGTATCTAAACATCATTGCATTATGAGCAAAGATGGAGGATGGCTAACAGTGGAATCTAAGACGCGCGTTTCGTCCTATTCGGGACTCTTCAGATGGATGCATCTGCATTCCAGAGTTAATGTTTACTTCGGGACTCGAACCCAGCACCGTTTGCTTCAAACGCCATCAGGTCATCCACTTAGCTACTGAATCCAGATGACGAGTCACAAATAGGAAGAAACGCACGTCCTGGACTCCACTGCTAGCCACCACCCATCTTTGCTCATAATGCTTGTGACTTAAGGTGATATAGAGGCAATCCGCACAAGATGCACATATGTCAGTAAGAGACCGATCAATTTCAGTCCTAAACACCAATGTGAAGATTCAAACAAACAATATAAAACGAATCATTATTACAGTAGTTTAAAATGAGAACTATTGGATGCCAACTCGGTGGTCTAAATGTAACATACTTGACAAGAGCAAAAATGATAATGATTGTACATTGCTTAGGAGTTCCATATTGGGGTTATCAATCTAAGTTCAATTAGTGAAGTAAACTACCTTAAAATTAAACAAGCCCTACAGAGAATTGATTCTGTTATTGGATCTATGTGTATACCTCCACAAAAATCGAAGCAATAGCAGGTAACTCAGAGGATTGTTTACTTTTACTGTCTAATATTTTCATTTCAATTGATATCAATTGAATAAATGTAATTCATCCAGAGGAATAACAAAGGCATTTACCCTATACTAAGACTGATCACCTAGGCATTCCACTGAATACGAGTGAAATGAAATCTTCAACCACCCAGAGAACGTATCGAACAAATCGACAAAAAGATAACCATTCATGAATACATATAACAATACTGTTTTCGAGATATCACTACTTGTAGAAAGTACAAGAATGAAGACAAATACCTGAAAAGATATTTAGCAGAAACCGAGGTGACCTAGCTCTGATGGTTCCGCGATGGACACAGGTCAACTGTACTTTACACTTGAACGGACAAGTTTCTCGATACTTTCCGCGTATTTTTATAATATCGTCGTCAGAAAAATAATAGGTTGATAGTTTTTCATTAATTTTAAAAAGGGTCTACGGACTGACTTGTTTCTCTTTCGTAGACATACATATCAGAGTATGATCTCACACCAAAGTTGTTGCATTTCTCAACAAAGTGAAATAGAATAGTACATGTCGGAAAGAGGAAAGGATTGAAGAGTAGAAGGATGATCAGGATTTAGAGGGTAATACTGCATGGCTTTACGCTATTGTGACATTCGAAAGTATGTCACTAATGATTTCTGTCAGCCAGTGCCTCATCTGAGAAGTCAACATCTTTCTACGTGACTTAAAACAAGTAAGTAAATTCAAGGACTGATGTTATATTCCAATTCAATAACTCTTATTTTTTTAAAATTAATTGCACTCCGATTGCTATCCCACTGTGGGGTAGGCGAGAACTTGGTAATTATAAAATATGACTAAGCTACTTTTACGTTTGTGATTTTCATTGTTACCATGGGATACATTATGTATATTAACGAGTTTTTTTACTGAATAGCCTCCCTAACTTAAAAGAAAATAAGTAAAAGAGGATGAAAACTAATCTTTATTCCATTTATAATTTACGATTATTTCATCCCCCGAAGTTGGTCGCAATGTGAAGGGAACTTATCAAGAATATACTTTATGGAAAATTCCAATTTAAAATACATCAGATGTATTTGATGAAAACTAATGATACAGAGAATGTATAGTAACATTTAAAATAATAGCAGACACTCTTACAAATTGTTAATCTGGAAAAAACATCAGTCACTTAGGGAAGTAAGTTTTACTGATGACTGGAAAATAGTAAGGATAACATTCGGCAAGCTGTCATATAAGAAATAAAACAAACATTCGGAAAAAAAGGGAAATAACTGAAATATTTTTGTCATAAACTAGACAACAATATCTTATTTATTATAAAATGAAATATAATATACATTAATTAATAAATTTCACAATCAATAAGCTACAATGCAACAAGTTAATTTTCTTCTAATGCAACGAGTTCTTTTGATAAAGTGACGAAGTTTCGTTCAGTTTATAAGTGTAACAGTAAATAGGGATTATAATAAAAACAATAAAAATATGGACAGTTATAACAAAGGAAACCTGAGTATACCATTCATAACGAAATAAAATTGTATGATCACAAAAAGTTTTCACATGTAAAAAACGTCAGCAAGTGTTATTCATTGTATTTAAATGAAATATATCGCATCCAAAAAGCATAAACAATTCCAACAGCACGAAATGGTGTTGCAGCTAAAATCTCCACACAAGCGAATATAATACCCGGAATAAAATCAGAAAGATAACGGCATCGTACACTTACAGGAGGAAATATCCCAGCAGTTATCCAAGAAAGAAATACTCCTTCTAGCCCACATGTACTAATCAATTTTCCATTCATTATATCCAAATATACAGACTTTGCCACATCATCCGGTGACACTAGCCCTGCAGTAGCAGATATCGCCTTAGTTACAACTGGTTTACCAACATTTTCACGCTAAAAAATGTGAATTTTGTTTTTAAAAATGTCGAATGAAATGTTTTATTATACTCAATTATTAATTTACAATAAGTTCTCAAAACAACAAGTAGTAAAAATGGACGTATCAGTGGTAGTAAATAAGACTAACATAAAGAACATGATTCGTGCAATAAAAGTTATACAACAATACTGAAACTCAGAACTTGGAGATGAACATGAAGATAATGTAGCTCCATCATTATGATTAATTCTGAATCCTATCACTCAGTGTCTCCAACCACTAATCATAATAGTCGTACGGACTCCAGCCAGGTAGGTATACTTCAAACAATATGGTTTAGATGGACAGTCAATAACTTCATGGATGAGACTTCCTAGTTTTACAGCCCCTAGCTTTGTTCCAGCTTAATTCAAGTCATTTAACACTGCGTATCGAGGTAAATAGTTGTGTGTACGTAATACATGTCCAAACTATCTCAGTCAAAGAGTCATGATATTATGTGTAAATTACATTGGATAGTAGATGGAAATCAGCAAATAAATGTATTACGTGATAAGAAAATTCAACTAGTCCCAACACCTGTCTGAGAAAGATAAACATTAAATATGAACTAGTATTTCTCATTGTATAATACCTAATCGCGCAAATACTTGTGTTTTCCATATAACCAATTCCAAGGAAACATGAACATTTTAAGAATATATCTACAAGGAATACAATAAAAACCATTTTAACGTCCATTTTTGATAAACAATGTCATGATAAATTAAAACGATGATGCTTCAAAACCACAGACTGGAATTTGGAAGTCTCAAGACAATGAAAAGTAACTTTGTCAGTATTATATAACCAAATCAGTAGAGATAGTCTCGTATGATATAACAATGAAAAAATCACTTATATCGAAGCGCAAATTAAAGGAACTAGAACCGGAGTTTTTTAAAACTTCAAAAACACTTGTGATTGCTTACCACGTAAACTGCACCCAAATGCCTTGGTATGGCCGAGAGTGGGGTGGGTTCGCCCTCCCTCTCGAAATACTCTCACAAGACCACGCGTATGCAGCCTCTTCCAGGGAAGTCCTACTCACTGCCTTCTCGTGGAGGGGGTGCTGTCTACGAAAGTGAGAGGACGGAAAGCGAATGTCCGGCGCTTTAACCGGATCCCGAACCAATGGTGCACATGGGCTCCATTATCCTGCGGGGACAGATGGCGTATGGACCAATTTTTGGTCACCGGCTACCATGGGACTGAATCTCCTCACAATGCTCCACTGCCTTGTGGGTTAGACCTTAAGGTCAAAGGCTCGGGGTGTGGCTTCATAAGAAAATCACCCGCTTCGGTCTAAGCACCCAGGCAGTATCTCAGCCCGCACACAAAAACAAGATAAACTGTCTACTTGTGAAAAATATTCCTCTCCCTGCAAATAACAATCAAGTGTCTCGCATTATTATTATTATTATTACTATTGTCGTTATTATTATTATTATTTACTACGTCATTATTCACCCTCCTTTATTCCTACTTTGTCTATACTTATTTTTCGACTTATACAACAGCTCGCCTATGGTGGAAATTCGACTCTATCTAAATGTACTGGAGTCACTGTCCGGTTGAAAATTGTATATTACCACCGAATATGAGTACTGAAGCAGTTTTTCTGAAACCATGTGCACGATTCAAACTGGCTGCCTCCAACGTTCGCACACTTATGCAGGTTGGACAACAGACAGGGCTGGCTATGTCTTTGGAAAGTCTTAATATCGACGTTTGTTGTCTAGCCGAGACCCGTATTCAAGACTCTGGTGAAGTACTACAAATTCGTTCTCCATCTGTCGCTTCGAAAAACTTGTTTTACGTGCGCTTATCCAGGGACCCTGTGGCATCTTCGTCTGGTCTTGCTAGCGTTGGTGTCGCACTAAGCGCTAGAGATGAGGCAGCACTAATCGATTGTATCCCCATTAACAGTCGGTTATGTGTTGTTAGATTAAAAAGTTCCATCAAAGTGAGAAGAAATCGGCGTGAGAAACGATGTCTTTTCGGCATCTCCGCCTATGCTCCGACAGATTGCAGCCCGGATGCGATCAAGAATGAATTCTACCACAAGTTAACTGTTCTTTTCCAGAAAGTGTGTTCGACAGATATTGTAGTACTAGCCGGAGACTTGAATGCTCAGGTCGGGCGTCTAGGCACAGAAGAGAGTCGTTTAGGTAGCCGTTGGGGACTTGTTGGTCGCAGGACAGATAACGGGGACCGTCTACTGCAACTGTGCACAGACCACAACCTGTTTCTGGCTAGCACTAACTTTCGGCACAGTCATCGCCGATGTGCATCGGTTGCAATTGCATGACGCAATGAAAATGGCAGGTACAGTCAGTTGTGGGTTCGCGAAACGTCCCGCTTATAAGCACTGGGTTTCTTCAGGCTCCTTACAACTCATTGAAGCCCGTCAGTCTACTCCGGGTGACTGTGAGTTTGACCACAAACGAAGAATGTTACGTAATGAAATTGGGCAAAGCTAGCGTAAGGACCGAGAAGCCTGATGGTCGGAGCGTGGATAGGACTGTTCTCTGGGATTGTCTATTGAAGAAGGGTGTGTCAGAAGTTTAATAATATCCTAAAGACCCTACGTACAAACACCTCAGGCAGAGTGAGGGCATACAACCACCTCTCTCCATTGTTCCATTCGAGTAGTGGGGTTAGGCAGGGTTGCCCAATCTCACCATTCCTCTTCAACTTTGCCATCGATGACATTCTGGAAAAAGCTCTGATGGATGTAAGTAATAGTGGTGTGGATCTGTTGCCTGGAGAAAAACTTCTCGACCTTGAGTATATAGTGACTCACGTGCAATTGAGTTTAGTTATGTCAAGGTCTTTTGTTGACCTATTTAATGGACAAAGTCATCCATGATATAACAACTTGTTGTACTATCTTTATTATTATGCTTGTATGAAATACATATGCTTGAACATTGTTTAGCGCCTACGCATGTATTCATTCTGCTAGCTTCATTATTAACTGCTTAATCTATTCGCTGACTCATCTATTTTCCTATACATATATATACCTGTACATTTTGCACGCATTGACTACAGCTACTTGCTACTGCTACAATCGTAGTTCGCTTGCTCATTCATTTTGCCTCTCTGCTGTCTGGTCCGAATTATCTACTAAATAAAACTGTAGTAGCTGCTTCTTTTTGCCTTCTGATTTCAAATATCGTTGAAGATTATACGATAACGGTTCGAGGGTGATTAAATAACGAAGCACAGCCACTACAGAATTGGTAACCCCGACGTGAGAACGGGAAGCGAATTTTGACGAAATAATCAAATTCCAAAAATCCGACTACCTTCATCTCAATTTGGATTATCAAACGAACTATAATTATAACTGTGGATTTATATCATTATTCTAATTACACTTACATTTATAGTGGCTGTGCTTCGTTATTTAATCACCCTCGAACCGTTATCGTATAATCTTCAACGATATTTGAAATCAGAAGGCAAAAAGAAGCAGCTACTACAGTTTTATTTAGTAGATAATTCGGACCAGACAGCAGAGAGGCAAAATGAATGAGCAAGCGAACTACGATTGTAGCAGTAGCAAGTAGCTGTAGTCAATGCGTGCAAAATGTACAGGTATATATATGTATAGGAAAATAGATGAGTCAGCGAATAGATTAAGCAGTTAATAATGAAGCTAGCAGAATGAATACATGCGTAGGCGCTAAACAATGTTCAAGCATATGTATTTCATACAAGCATAATAATAAAGATAGTACAACAAGTTGTTATATCATGGATGACTTTGTCCATTAAATAAGTTAACAAAAGGGCTTAACTGAGTTAAATGAGAATAAACCCATTTGCACGTGAGTCGCTATACATTATTTCGCAAACATTATTAAACGTGACAATTATAATCATAATAAATAACAATTATCCATAAACAATTGATATATTGGTGCAATTTAGTAAGTCTGTTCCATTTTATAAATTGTGCCATTTTTTTATTATCATTGTTTTCGCCCGTCTATTTTTCCTTGTGACTGTTAAATTATTTTCGTGTGCTATTTAATTTTTATAAGCATGTCTTATGAAAACACAGTTTCAAGCGTACAGCAAGCCTCGTCCGTGAGGTCTCTTAACCTCCCTGTCCCTTCTTTTAAAATCACAGACCCAAAACTTTGGTTTATAAGACTTGAAAATTATTTTCTCGCTAACCGCATTCTTTTGCAAAAGGATAAGTTCGGCCTGACAAGCACACTACTCCCAGACGAAGTAGCTGACAACGTTCGAGAGGCACTAGCAAAACCAGACACAGAAAAACCATACGACGTGCTAAAAGAGGCTGTAATTAAAACTCTCTCTCTCAGTGACCAACAAGCTGTCGAACAACTCCTTAGCCAAGTACAAATTGGAGATAGAACCCCATCACAACTAAAAAATTATATGAAAAGTCTACTTGGCGATAGACACATTGACAATAATCTCTTCTATCAATTGTGGCTCCGCCGACTCCCGGCAAATATTCAGCAGATCCTAGCTGTAGGAGATACGGATGCTGATTTAGACAATATAGCAAAGATAGCCGATAGAATATACGAAAGAAGCAAGCAAGCAAGCCCTCCACTACACAACGTGACGGTAGACGATAGACTTGATACTCTACAGAAGGAAATAAATGTTTTATGCCGAAAACTCTCAGAGTTAACGCAGAGAGAAAAGCCACGAAGGTCATCGCGAGATCGTTCGCGTGAAAGGACCCGGTCAACTTCTAGACGACGCCCAACTCCCGCGATATGTTGGTATCATCAAATGTTCGGCTACAGGGCTAGAAAGTGCCTACAACCTTGTAGATTTAACAGGGCTAGTAACCGATATCCACCAGTATCAATGGCAACAGCATCAACACACGTAATGCCTGAAAATAGTCGCCTCTTTTATATACAAGACCGAACCACTGGCACGCAATTTTTAGTTGACACTGGAGCGGAAATTAGCGTAG